GGTTGAGCCCAGGAGTCTGGAGGTTGCTGTGAGCTAGGCTGACGCCACGGCACTCACTCTAGCCTGGGCGACAGAGTGAGACTCTGTCTCAAAAAAATAAAATAAAACCCTCAGCCCAAACACGAGTTTGTAACACAATCATCCCAGTTGGCAGCAGGAAGGCAGGTGGTCGGACGGCAGGGGGGACTTCCTCAGGAAGAGACGGGGAGCTCAGCAAGAGGCCGGGCGGTGAGACTGGCTGACGCCACGGCCCCTTCTCCCAGGACCACTCTCCTGCCCCGAGGCAGGAGCCTGGATAAGATGCACGGTGCTTGGGGGCCAGGGATTCTTGGAAGACGGGCTCGGTGGCCACACCAAGCAGAGCCTGTCTCAGGGGTCTCAGGAAGGGAAACTGAGGCATCACAGATGTCACCAGGCAGAGAGAGCAGCCCGGGCCCAGGCGGCTCCAGAAGTCCAGGCCTCAGGTTCTGTGTGACGTCCCCCCCCCAAGTCAGCCTGCAGAAGGCTCCCCGGGGAGCAGGCAGCCCAACCCTGGGACCCCAAACACTGTGGCCACTCCGGCTCCGGAGTTTCTCGTGATGACGTCAGAGCCCCCCTAATGGCGGGCATCCTTTGCTACCCTGCTTCCCCGAAAATAAGACAGGGTCTTCTATTCATTTTCCCTCAGGAAGACGCTGCCCTAGGACTTAGTTTCAGGAGATGTGTTGTTGGTATTGTTGTTGTTTTTTTTTTAAGTACGGTACAACCATCTACATTTATTATCCAAATAGAGCGAAGTCGTCTTCTTCTGGAACATCATCCTCACTCTCCAGACCCCGAATCCCGTCCTGAATGTCTTGCGACTGTTTCCTTTAGCCCCACCCAAAAATAAGCCCTAGCGACGGGCGTGGCTGCGCAGCGCGTCTGCACAACCCGTGCGTGTCGTCGCGGGGCGGGAAAGAAGACGAGCAGCCCTTCCCATCCGCCCCGTGAGAGCTCTGTGGCTCCACAGGAGAGATCGGGGCCGACGGTTCTAAAGGAAACAGAGTCGCAAGACATTCGGGACGGGATTCGGGGTCTGGAGAGTGAGGATGATGTTCCAGAAGAAGACGCCTTCACTCTATGTGAATCCATGTAGATGGTTGTGCCGTACTTAAAAAAAAAATAGCACATCCCCTGAAAATAAGCCCCAGGGTGTCTTCTTGAGGGAAAATAAATAGAAGACCCCGTCTTGTTTTCGGGGAAACTCGGTAGTGCCTGTGTTGTGTCTCCTCCTGCCCCTCCCTGGAAGGGAAACACCTTGCACTCCCTTTACCGGATCTCGGGACGCTCTGGGCACTCAGTGGGAAATGGCGCGGTCTGCAGGGAGAGGGCAGCTCTCACCCTCTGCTCATCACTCCCCGCCACGCCCTGACTCTCAGCCGCCAAGAACGCGAAATCCTCCAACCCCACAGAACATCGGAATGGACGGCGGCAACCCGCCCACCATGGGCCCCTTCAAAAATAAGCCCCATTGTCCCCAAGTTGCCTATTCAAAGCTGGAAAAGACAGCTGCTCCTAATTTGGGCTTCTCGAATCAAGAAATCTTCCCTTGGCCGGGCGCGGCGGCTCACGCCTGTCATCCCAGCACTCTGGGAGGCCGAGGCGGGTGGATGGCTCGAGGTCAGGAGTTCGAAACCAGCCCGAGCAAGGGCGAGACCCCGTCTCTACTAAAAACAGAAAGAAATTAATCGGCCAACTAAAAATATATATAGAAAAAATGAGTCGGACGTGGTGGCGCATGCCTGTAGTCCCAGCTACTTGGGAGGAGGCTGAGGCAGGAGGATTGCTTGAGCCCAGGAGTCTGAGGTTGCTGTGAGCGAGGCTGACGCCACGACACTCACTCTAGCCTGGGCAACAAGAGACTCTGTCTCAAAAAAAAAAAAAAAAAAACAAAGAAATCTTCCCTTCGCTTCCCGCCAGGCCGGGATGAAGTCCATCGAGCCACGGCGTTCATCCAGCGCCAGGCGTGTTCTGGCCCGGAGCTCAGAGCCGGCCTCACGGTCTGACCCGGGCATGCGCCCGCCGGGGCTCCAGTCCTGACGTCCTTCCAGGCTCAGGCAAAACAGAGGCCACTAGGAGACACCGGTGCAGGCCTGTCCCGCCCCTGCAGTAGCCGGGCTCCTCCGCTCTGCCCCCCAGGGGTGCTGGCTGTCCCCCCAAGTCGTGACTCCACACATGGCCGCCTTGGACTCTGCCTGTGACGGGCAGCTCACCACCTCTCAGAGCGACCTTCCTCATCCCTGAATACCGGTGGCTGCCAAACACTCCCGAACCCACCCCGCTCCACGCCAGGTTCTGCCCTCTCGGGCCACATACGGCCGGTCCACCCGTCTCGCTGTGACGGCCTTCCGGCTGCGTCTGCCTGTCCCCAAACTCCTCTCGGGGTTGGGGACCTGGATGGCAAGAGTCTGCTGTGGACCCATCACCCAGACAGGAAAACCGAGTCCTGTGTCACAGAGCTACGTGGATGGTCCTTCCTGGCAGGGTCCCCCCCCCCGGGTGTCTGGGTGTCTCTCAGGGGCCCCCACGCTGGCTCCTGCAGGTGCAGACCAAGCATCCGGGCTCGCCGTGCCCCAGGGCCTTTGCCTGGCTCTGCCCGCTGCCTGGCGTGCCGTCCCCTGGTGCCCACGGAGCTGTTCCCGCCTTGGCATCCCGACCCCGGAGCACAGACCCGGACCCCCGCTGCGAACGTGCGCTCCCTCCCGTCACGCGTGTTTACCTGTTTATTGTCCGTGTCCCTCACATCTCCAGGACTAAGACCACGGACAGGCACAGGGCGGGGACTCAGGGATGGTTGTTGTCTGAATTTTAAAAAAATAAAAGAATTCCAGGCAGAAGCCACAGCAGCTGGAGCCCAGACGCCGGGGAGGCCACGCCTGCCGGTTCTGGCTCTGAGCAGGAGCTCCGGCGTGAGGACGGCCCGGTCGCCCGGCCGTGTGGCCGTGGGCAAGTCGAGACCCTGCTGAGGGTTGCCTCTGCATCTGCAAGGCGAGCACGGCCACGGACCTGCCACGGACCTGCCACGGCACCTGCCACAGCACCTGCCACAGCACCTGCCACGGACCTGCCACAGTGTCTGCCATGGCCCTGCCACATACCTGCCATGCACCCACCACAGCACCTGCCATGGCCCTGCCACATACCTGCCACACACCTGCCATAGCCCTGCCACATACCTGCCACACACCTGCCATGGCCCTGCCACACACCTGCCACAGCACCTGCCACGGCCCTGCCACACACCTGCTATGGCGTCTGCCTCCCAGTGTCTCGTGTACAAAGCAGCACCGGCAGGCTCATGTGGGGGGAGCCCTCCACCTGCGGGCCATGGTTATCAGTGAGGACATGGGTGGCCCCGTGGAGGGAGGGGAGCTGGGCCAGGTGACCCTGTGGGGGCTTCTGCCCTGTGACAGACAGCACGGTGGGCGGAGCTGCCGGCTTTGTGGAGCTGAGGACAGAAGAGCCAGGCACCACTGAGAACTTGTGGACTCAGCCGGTCCCCGCCTTCCTCCTCCTCTTCCTCCTCCTCTCCAAGCAGGGAAGGGGGGCCCTCGGGGGCGGGGTGGGGGGGCAGCAACCCCCGGCTGTGTCCGGAGCCCCCCCCGCCCTGGGGGAAAGGAGGCCAGTGGGAAGGGCCAGGCCCGGGGAAGAGCCCGGCATCCTTCCCCTCCCCGCGTGCCGGCGGCTCGAGTGGGGGGCGGGGGGCTCCCGGCCGGCGTCTCCAGCCCCCACAGCCCCTGGGCCTGAGCCAAGGTGCCTCTGCCAGCCCCCCGGCCCCCCGGCCCCAGACACAGCCGGGATTGTGCAGCGCGGGCAGGCGGCGAGCCACAGCTGAGGGGACAAGGCCCAGCTGTCCCCGGGGACAAGCGGGCGGCTTTCTCCCCCATGAACAGGGAACCTATGTCCTTCGGGGGGAGACAAGAGGAGGAGAGGCCAGGGGAGGAGGCCCAGGCGTGGCTGTAAACACCTTCTCAGGGTGCCCCGTGCCCTGGGGACAGGACAGGTGGGGCCGGGAGGGGGCCTGGCCTCTGGCGCTGACCCCCGTGTGACCTGCTCCGGCCTCAGTTTCTCCACGGAGAAAGAGGGAGGTGGAGAACTTCCCTACATCCCAGCAGAGAAGCGGCTTCCGGGAAGGGGGCGGGCCCTTCTTGGGAAGGTCGGGCTCCAGAAAAGGAGGAGCAAGCAGGACCCAGGGCACGGGACGGGGACGGGGCCGGACGGGGCCGCCGGACCCTCTGCTGGGAAGGAAGGGACGGCGCCCGCGTGCCTGCCCGGCCTGCAGGACAGTGTGAGCGCCCACGGCCGCGGGGGGCCCGGGAGCAGGTGCGGGAGACGGGTTAGGGTTAGGGTCGGGGTCAGGGTCGGGGTCGGGGTCAGGGGTAGGGGTAGGGTTGCATCTTTGCAGGTGAGGCCCTCGGAACCCCCTCTCACAACCAACCGGGCGAGAATGGTCTCTATCCTACTTCCCCTCTCCCCTGGCCCTTGTCTTTCACTACACACCTCATTCCTGGAAAATAAGACAGCCACCTGTGTTCACACCTGCCTCCACTACACACCTGCGTTCCACCTGTCTCCACCAGGCACCTGCCTCCACACTTCTCTCACACACCTGCGTCCACACCTGTCTCCACCACACACCTGGGTTCCCACCTGTCTACCACACACCTGCCTCCACACCTATCTCTATCACACACCTGCCTCCACACCCATCTCCACCACGCACCTGTGTCCACACCTGTCTCCACCACGAACCTGCCTCCACACCTGTCTCTATCACACACCTGTGTCCACACCTGTCTCCACCACACACCTGTGTCTACACCTGTCTCCACCACACACCTGCATCCACACTTGTCTCTCTCACACACCTACGTCCACATCCGTCTCCACCACGCACCTGTGTCCACACTGTGTCCGCCACACACCTGCATCCACACCTGTCTCTGTCACACACCTGCATCCACACCCATCTCCACCACACACCTGTGTCCACACCTGTCTCCACCACACAGCTGCATCCACACCCATCTCCACCACACACCTGTGTCCACACCCGTCTCCACCACACACCTGCGTCCACACCTGTCTCCACCACACACCTGCTCACAGGTGCAGCATGGCCAGGGCAGCCCCTCCCTGGGACTCCAGGACTGGACGGTGACAGGTCCAGCTCCCTGCACTCCGGGTCCCCCGGGACATGTGGGTCCCACCCCCACCCAGGAAAATAATTGGCCAACTAAGTATATATAGAAAAAATCAGGCCGGCATTGGTGGCGCATGCCTGTAGTCCCAGCTACTGGAGGAGACTGAGGCAGGAAGGATCGCTGGAGCCCAGGAGTTTGAGTTTGCTGTGAGCGAGGCTGACGCCACGGCACTCACTCTAGCCGGGCAACAAGCGAGACTCTGTCTCAAAAAAAAAAGAAAAGAAAAAGGAAATAGTATTACAGAGCTACTCTCTGCCAGGTACACATAGGCG